AGTCTCCTAAAACCCTGGCTGGCAGCAGCCTCTGAATGCCTGGGTGGCTGAGCATGATGTAGCAACTCCCTAGCCACCACCGCCACCCCCCACCCCCCAACTCCCCCCCAACCCTCTCCACCCAGGTACAAGCAGGGTACTCCACTGATCTCTGCTCAAGGGAATTTTTACTTTTTTAGTTGTCAATGAATATTTATTTATTTATTTATTTATATGTGGTGCTGAGGATGGAACCCAGTGCCTTACACGTTCCAGACAAGCGCACTACTATTCCAGACAAGTGCACTACGGCACTACCTGCTGAGCCACAGCCTCAGCCCCGGGAATTTTTACTTTTATGCCCTTAAGCCTGAGATGGATGCAGTCTGACCAATTCCTGAGATGCCCTCAAGTAATCTCTCTTATTGTCTTTGGCATTTCTTTAGTGACTGTAATGTCTTTAAAAACCACACATTCCTTAGCCCCAGTTTTACTCACAGTTTTCTAGCCAAACTGCAAGTTTTTCAAATCTTTCTGCTTTGCTTTCTGTTCCTGCTTATCACAGTAAATTTGGCTAAAAGCCACTAGCAATAACCATGCCACTGCCTGAATACTATGCTGCCTAGGAATTTCTTCTGCCAGATTAAGAAGTTCATTGCCTTTAAATTCAGTCTCACAGAAAGTCTCAGGACACAGGCAAAATGCGGGCAACTTAATAGCCATAATATAACACGAATGGCCTCTCGTCCAATTTCCAACAGAATGCTTCTTTTCCTCTGAAACCTCGTGACCCCAGTCTTTGCTGTCCACAGTCTTATTGACATTCTGGTCTTCTGAACTCCCACCAGGATTTCCCATTAAGGTCCATTTACAGCATTCTAAATGTTTTCCAGCTTGCATTGCCAAACTTTTCAAAATTTCTTCCACAAATTCCAAAAAGCTCCAAAAGCTTCTGAACCACATGATCAGATTAGTCACAGCAACAACCCCACTTCTCAGTACCAATTTCTGTAGTAGTCAGCTTTTTTTTTGCTGCTGTGACCAAAAGAACTGACAAGAACAATTTTAGAGGAAAAGTTTGTTTGGGGGCTCACAGTTTCAGAGGACTCAATCCATAGATGGCTGACTCCATTGTTGGGGACCACAAGGTGAGGCAGAACATCATGGTGGAAGGGTGTGGCAGAGGAAAACAGCTGGGAAGGTGGCACCAGGAAGCAGAGAAAGTGTCCACTCCCCCAAAGGCACGCCCCCAATGACCCTTCTCCCCTAGCCAAACCCTACCCACCTTCAGTCATACACAGCTAATCCCTATCAGGGGATTAATGCACTGATTAGGTTAACTCTCATAACCCAGTCATTTCACCTAAACTTTCTCACATATGTGAGCTTTTCAAGGACACTTAATATCTAAACCATAACGGGTATATTTTCTGGGAAAGCCTGAGTCTGGCTTTGCAGCCACTAACTTGGTATGTGATCTTGATCTCCCTGAGACTCAGTTTTCTCATCTGTAAAATTAGACATTGCAGGGTCTCAGATTTTGCACACTATAAATAAGCACCAAGCCCAGTGCCTGGCATGTAGAAAGTGTCTAATTCAGTTGCCCATTTTAACTCTCAAGGATTTTTTTTTTTTTTTTTAGTTGTTGATAGACCTTTATTTTATTTATTTATATGTGGTGCTGAGAATCGAACCCAGTGCCTCACACACGCCGGGCAAGTGCGCTACCACTGAGCCCCAGCCCCAGCCCTGAACTCTCAAGGGTTTTGTGTTGCTCTTTTTGGTGCTGGGAAATGAACTCAGGGCCTTGCACCTGGTAAGCACATGCTCTACCACTGAACTACACCCTAGCCCCAGGTATTTTATATTTTTCACTCAAGAACTCTTTACTGTAGATGGGAGTCCACTTACATTTATATGATGAACTCTGCTTGGGACCCAGAAAGACTGAGACAAGACAGTGTGTTTTACTTTCTCTCTTTATTTACAATTTTTATCCTTGTCCTTTCTTGCCAGGGGAGAAGGGAGGGTACCTAATTGAAAACCTACACAGACAGACACAGAATAAATCTTCCTTTTCCAAGGTTATCATTTCTATTTTTAATTTTTTGTTGTTCCCAACGATAAAAAAAAGCAGAAGCTAAAATATGATATTAAAATTTTCAGTTGCCTTGGTCCATCCCAAGAGTGACAACTGCAAGATGAGTGTTTGTCTTTCAGAGCTGTGGTAATGTGGACTTCGTGCTCCTGAAAGTCTCTGCCCTGGGAGAATTTGATTACCTGGGCTTGTGGTGGGATCAGAGATCAGTTTTCTTACTGCCTTTTCAAGTCAGTTCACAGTGCTCTGAGCCAATCTCTCATGAGCTGTAATCAATTTCCTGTCCTTGATTCTAGAGCTGCTGCCTCCTGCCTCCTGTCTAACTCCACACTCCTGGGCCTGGATCTCAAATTCAGGCCTCCTCTGCTTATGGAGCCCACCGTACCCTTTTCTGTCTGCATCTGTCTTCTCTCTGTTCACACCTCCCTCTCTAAAAGTCCTGCTCCTGCCGTTTCAGGGCCTTTCTAGTGTCAACTCTCCCCCCTCCTTGGAGCCACCCTTAAAAGTCAAGATGATGAGGGGTATGTTGCTTAACTCATCTTGAATGTTAGCTCAATGGATCTTGATCTACAACAGGCATCTTAACCTTGGCTGTACATTGGAATTGCCTGGGAAGCTTTAAAAACTCCTGATACCTGAGCCCTACCAGAGATTCTGCTTTCATTGTCTGACGTGAGGTCTAGTCACTGGACATTTTAAAGCCCTTCCAGGTGATTCAGTCAGTGTACAGCCAAGGTTGGGATCCACAGGTCTACAACCCAGCCAATTCTAAAATTGGAGCTAGACTCTAACAATAGCTTTATTTGTTCCCCAAGTGACTTGTGTGCCACAGTGTTTAAAATAGTCCATGTGAATATATAAAACATCAAAGTGGTGCTTTTCCCCTTTGTGCTAGTTGGGTAGGTTTGGGGGAAGGAAATAGTAGAGCTCCTTTTTTGAAAATTAAATTCCTAGATTACCTCTTGGCTGCCTTGACAGGAATAGCAGCAACCACGTGCCTTTATTGAGCTCTCATTACTTCCTCGGCTCAGCATATGCATTATATCAGTGTAGTCCTCATAACAACCCCATGAGTGAGTCCTAATTTTGGCTTTATTTGATTAACGAGGACCCTGAGGTCCAGAGAGCACTGTACTGAACTTGAGCCCAGGTACATTAGCTGCCAAAACCTCTCTAATTCTGTATCCCTGGGGAAGAATGGTGTATCCAAATAGCTTCCTGAACAATAAGGATGAACTTGCTTAACTTTGGGGTTGCACATTTTTATTAAGAGGTAACCTCTTTATTTTTAAAATTAATTTATTTATTTGTTATTCCAATTTGTTATATATGACAGCAGAATGCGTTACAATTCATATTACACATACAGAGCACAATTTTTCATATCTCTGGTTGTATACAAAGTGTATTCACATCATTCGTGTCTTCATACATGTACTTAGGGTAATGATGTCCATCTCATTCCACCATCTTTTCTACCCCCATTCTTCTCCCTTCCCCTCCTACCCCTTTACCATATCTAGAGATCATCTAATCCTCCTATGCTCCCCCTCCCAATCCCACTATGAATCAGCATCCTTATATCAGAGAAAACATTTGGCATTTGGTTTTTTGGGATGGGCTAACTTCACTTAGCATTATATTCTCCAACTCCATCTATTTACCTGCAAATACCATGATTTTAATCTCTTTTGTTGCTGAATAATATTCCATTGTGTATATGTACCACAGTTTCTTTATCCATTCATCTACTGAAGGATATCTAAGTTGATTCCACAGTTTAGCTATTGTGAATTGGGGGTTGCACATTATTTAAATTGAGTTTCATTCTTTTGTTTTTGAGAGCTTCCATAAATTTGATTTCGTATTCACTCCCAAGTTGTCTAAGTGTAGCTGGGACTGGGAGGCCATTTAATAAATTGGATTTCTCCATGCTCAGGAGGCTCTTTTAGAAAAGCATCTACTTGAAATGCCTAACCTATCCTTTCTTTTACTTAGTCTTCTTTAATAGCTTTTTTGGCCTTGTTTGATTAATGAAGATCCTGTGGACCAGAAAACACTTCATTTTCAGGTGGTTCATAAGCAGCAATAACCCCATTTTGCAGAAGGAGAAACTATTGTGCCAAAATATTAGTAACAACTGCTGCTAATTGGCTTTTAATAAGTACAGGCTCTGTGCCAAGCTCTTTATTATTATCCATATTTTACAGATGAGGAAACTAAAAATTAAAAAAAGGTGAATGTACTGGCTCAGGGTGATGTAGCCAATAATCAGGCACGAGATTTATTTGCTTATTTGTTTTTAACTTGCTAACCAGCAAAATTGCAAGACCTGGATTTCATATGCAAGTAGGGCATTTGAACAACATGTCTGAAACAGACTCTTGAAATGTAAACTGGATTTTCTTATTGTGTGCCTAATGGCCATTTAGAAGTTATTGTGAAACAAAAAAACTTTCTGCCAACCTTGAATATCATCCTGAGATTAAACATGTTCTAAATACTCCTTTTGCAGTCATCTCAATGCAAGGCTGCTTTGGTGTGACAAGCCCCTGCAGGTGAGAACTGGTTCCTGGAGCATATCACACTCCATCCACCTCAGCTCTGGTGTTTCACGGTTGCAGATTGATGATGAAGATGCACTGTCTGCTCCTGGGTCTCCCCCAATCACAAAGACATTAAGGAGAAAAGCCCAGCTCCCCTTCTCACCATGATGAATATGCCAACTTATTCTTTCCATCTTAAGCATAAGACACATGCGCAATTCTGTAAGGAGAACAACTCCGTGGAATAAAAAGGAAAGAGTCAGTGTGGAAAACAGATGGGGTCTCAGGGAAGATGAAGGGCCCAGCAACCTATGTCAAGGCAGAGGGTCATTAACTGAGTGCAACCCTTTTCTACAGTGTTGTTTATCCCCCTACAGGGCATACAAAACCATTGAAGATGATGACTTGAAGTTTCCCCTCATATATGGAGAAGGCAAGAAGGTAAGTGCCTGTGCTTCCCAGGATCGAGAGAAGCCTGTGTCCCCTTGTTGCTCTGCATGGCCTGTGGCAGCAGCTCGTCATTTTATAGCTTTCCCAGCTTGAAAGAATGCCACATCCATCATCCTTCAGGTCACCTGTCTTGAAGGTCCAAGAAGTGGCAAGATTGTAGAAAAGGAGGTGGGTGGTAAACTCCAGGGATGAAAGTCAATTTTGTGAAAATAACATCCCCCTTCCCAGTCCATTTGAGTAACTTTTTACAGTGTTGAAACATGACTACTTTCACATACATCATTTCATTTTATATCTGACAGCAGACTAGGAGGCATATCCATTTGCTAGAGGAGACAGCTGGGACTGTGAGGTTAAAACAGCTCAGGCAGAGCTGCACAGCCAGCCAGGGGCAGCTCCAGAAGTGTAGCCATGGCTATCTGTCCCCTTCTACCAGTTTCATGCTCCACCATGGAAGTTCAGACTGTGCCTCAGAGCCTCACTATAATTAAGCTATAGGATCCCATCAACCAGAGCCCAACTGAGGTGGCAAACACTATCATCAGCTGGGCCCCAGTCAGAAGCCAGAACTGAGTGGCACAGGGTTGAACCAAAGGAAGGACTGGAGACCTTCAGACGCTCTGTGAGCAGATACCTGGAGGAGACTGAAATCATGGAGGAAAGATGAGAAAGCTTTGAAGCCCAATTAGAATAAACACCTTCTAAATCTTTGCTTTCTTCCTCTCAACACAAATACATTTCAACTCAGTACTAAGTGTTCGAAATAGAAGTGAAATGTGGTCACATGAAGAAGAATCTTCAACTGAAATTTTTTGCAGCATTTGATAATGTTATCAAGAAAAGTGACTGACGAGAAAACCAAAGGACGCCTTCCTGCGCAGAACATATGTGGGCTTTTTGTTTTGTTTTGTTTTGTATGTGTGTGTATCTGTGTGTGTGAGTGTGTGTGTCTGTGTGTGTGAGTGTGTGTGAAAGAGAGAGAGCACACAGAAAAGTCTTCATTGGTGTAGCCCCTCCATGATCCTAATGGAAGGAGGCATTTCATGAATGAAAGCAAAACATGAATATCTGACCCAGGTGGGGATCATTTTAAACACTAACGTGGCCTTCATTGACCATGTCTGGCTTAGAGTCATGACAGGGCCCAGCTCTGTTCCTGACAAGAGTATGTGTTCTTCAGTACAATGTGTGCCATCAATGTGCCTCATGGTTCAGGTCAGTGACCTGCACTTGCTTCTGCAGCTCCTTGTGGGGCTGAGATTCCCAGCATTACCCTGCTTTCTCCAGTGAGTTCCAATAAGACCACATTCTGTTATCTTTGTAGCCCTAGTGCCTGCCCAGCCTGACCCCGACACATGGAAGACCTTCAGTAAATGCCTAAGTATGAAGTTAAGTTGTGCAGTTCTGTTCAGTAAACTCTCAGTGCAGCAGAAAAATGGACTGATGTGTTCTTAGAAGGTTATCAGCCAGGAGATTTAAAGGGTCAAGGATTTCTTCCAGTTCGGGTCATGAAAACATCATGTTTCTCAAGCATTTCAGTTAGTTAAGGCTTGACAGTCCTATGATGAACAGCTGGCAAGTTCTGTCATTGTACCTGTCGGCCTGTTTAAAAGCTGATGTGGGCTGGGGGGTGTACCTCAGTGGTAGGAGTGCTTGCAGAGAGCATGCTCCATCCAGGCACTAAGATTGATCCCCAGCACTGCAAAGACAAACTTAAATAAATACAACTTAAGTAAATAAATGCAAGCCACTGTGTCTCCTCTTGACTTTTATTGGTGGCCTCTCCCTGACCCAAAGTAGTACACCATCCCTGTCTGAGGCCTCCATGATTTCATGCAGTTCCCTCTAGAACATTCATGGGGTTTTTTTCTCTCCATGCCTACTCCTACACAGGAGGCTCTGAGTGCTTTCACAGCTGTTACTTTTTATTTCCAGAAAAGCTATTAAGATTTGTGTGGGTAACACCTGTATGCTTTGTAAACAAGTTCAGGAACTTGCAGGAACATCAGATTTCTTTGAACTAAAACACAGGCATGTGCTTTTTCCAGCCAGAGAAGCTGCCCTGGCAGGGAGAGAGTGCAAGGGCCACAGGGGACTCAGAATCTTCACAGTTCACGTTGAACACCTCTTAGCTAGAAGGAAGTCTGTCCAGACTCCCAGCAGAGCAGAGGTTTCTGCAGCCTGACTGACCAGAGGTCCCCAAGCTTCACATGTCATGTTTGCATTTTATTCCCTTTGACTCTGGCCCTTAATCTTTCTACTCAGATACTTTCTGGTTTGAGACCAGCTCCAAAATGCACAGTCCTTTTGGAAAATGAGGATAGGAAGGTGAAGACAAAGTATTGTATCGGACAATGGATTGTATTGATTCTTAGCCATTATTTACTTCATCCGTACCCCTGTGAGGGTTCTTACTACCCAAGGACTAGAGGGAGGTTTCAAGCTCAGGTCCTTGTACCACGACATTACATGGAATTTAGTATTGATGACCTAAGGGTTCGGCCACTGGGCTCCATTTCACCCAGTTCACTCTGACTTGCATTCCCCCCTCTCTCTGAGTCTGCCTGTCTTGATGCTATCCAACCTTCAGCAGGAAGCTTAGTGCTACCTCCTCCAGGGGACCTTCTCAGCAGAATTTTTATCTCCTGTAAACTCACATAGTCTTCATTGTCCACATGTCCTTCAGTACTTGACCATATTTCCTATGTTACTAGTTAGACATTACCTCTCATGTTCCTTACCAAGCTCCTTTATAGTAAGGATGAGGCCTTAGAAAATTGTTTCCCCTATCACTTAGTGGGTGCTCAGTAAATGTTTGGGTACATCAAATCTATGGCATCTCAGGAGATAGTTAAGCTGACTGTATAGATGTTAGAATACTAGTGTTGCTTCCTTAAAACATTTTTTAAAACCCAGCAATTTGAAGAAAGCTTGAGTTCTCAGCCCAGAGGTCTCTGGGTAGCTACTGCACTAGTGAAATTTTGTTCCTGTCCACCCAGAGGGAATTTGTAACACTGAAAGGATAGGTCACAGAGTTGCTAAGAATTTACTTTTTCTAGTCATAAAGCCTAATAGTGAGCTTTGGGAGGACAGGAGGGTCCTCTGATTTTTTTTTTTGTTTGTTTGTTTGTTTGTTTGTTTTGCTAATACCTATCATAGAGCTAGGGACAAACCTGGGGCTCAGCAAATACTTGTAGTGTGGATGTGTTACAGAAGGATGGATGGATGGATGGATGGATGGATGGATGGATGGATGCTGTTGGGTTTGGTATGAACTGATTTCAGTAACTGCAGACATTATACATGGATTGGAGTTAGTTTATTGAGCACTCTTGTCTCTAGTCTCTACAAAAGAAAGCTGCAAAGAGACAACAGCAACTCAATAAGGTCAGGATAATTGGTAGAAAAACCATTCCTCAAATACAGAAGTGATTTTGTGGCACTATTCCTTGGTAACAACTACCTATATAAGTTAACAGCAAGGGACATGGAAAGATGGGCAGGAGTAATTGGACAATTTTTTTCATCATTCTTAGCCCATAGCCGCTGGAGTGTGATAAGATGTTTTCACGCTGTATTTATTTCTGATGATCCTCTGTTTATACTCCTAGGCCCGGGTAATGGCAACTATTGGAGTGACCAGGGGACTTGGGGACCATGACCTGAAGGTGCATGACTCCAACATCTACATAAAACCATTCCTGTCTTCAGCTCCAGAGGTACCATTTGAGGTTTTTATTTGTATTTTGAACTATAAAATATTTTTTTATTTTTCCTTTCCTGACCCAACCCCCATGTCCAGACAGTAGCCAGCTCACGTTGCGTGTGCTTCTCAGTGTCTCGCGTCACTCCATTCTCACTTTGACTACCCTGGTTCATTCCCTCATCACCTCCTGCCCAGAGAGCTGCACAGTCTCCCTCTCTGCCTCCTTCAGTCCATCTCACAGATTGCAATCAGGAGAATTTTCCCAGAGAACTCCTCTGACTCCTAATTGCTCAGAAACCTTCAATGCACCCCACTGAGTTGGAGAATCAAGCCAGATTCGTTCAGTTGGCATGCAAGGCTTGTTGTAATTTTGGTCTAACTTTCTAATCTGATCTTTGTTCCCCTGCATCAGCCAAGTGAATTTGTTTCCTGTACATGACCTTTAATTTTCCAATATTTGTTTAAAACTACTCCATTTGCCATGACTGTCCTTCCTCCTGACCTCCAAATATACAGTTGTTTTCCTTTGTGGTTGAGCTCAGGTGCTTCTCCCAAGGGGGCTTCTGATTTTCCCCTACCCCAACCAGAAGTAACATCTTTGCCTACTCCTGACACACAGTGAGCTTTGCCCTGTAATGGCATTTTCACTTACTGCCTTACATCACAGTTATTCAGGTATGCCTTATCCTCTCGTTAGATTTTAATTACCTGGAGAACTTGCATCATTCAAGTGCTGTTTAAACAAGTTAAATCAAAAAACATATTGAACATACATGTGGTTTTTTAAAACTCAAGTTTCCTACAGTACTGGAAACCTTAACAGTTCAATGTTCACTTGCAGAGTATATCAGTTAGAAAAGATTTTGCTTCCATGTTATAGAAAAATCTCTTAGTAATTTAGACATTGATCTTTTTTTACATAATAAGAAGGCTGGAATTTGATAGCTCCTAGTGCAGGTTCTGATTCTCAGCTGTGCCAGAGCTGGTATCCCTGTAGTTTTCTGGTTTTTCTTTCATGGTTGCAAGGCGGTGGCAGCAACCCCAAGTATAACATTCTCATGAAAGACAGGAAGGAGAGGCAGCATCAATCCAGCACATTGACTTGCATCTCATTGGCCAGAACTGTGTCACATGACTTCTCCTTAGCTGTAAAAGGCAGGGAAGAGGGGTACTTTACCAGTTTCTGTATAGAGGAGAAAGGGGAAGGAGTGAGTTAGAAGGCCTTACAGTGAAATTGAGTAGTAAACCCAGGCCTCACACTGGAAATGCCAGAATGTTTAGATATACTCCACCTGTATGTTTTTCTCAAGAATAGGTGCCAGGTTTTTGGTTTCGAGGTTTGGTTGGCTGGTTTTTGATTGGCAGTTGAACACAGGACCTTACAAGCTCTAACGCTGACCTATGCCCCCAGCTTCTGATGCTGGCTTTGGGGAGGGAGGTTTGTTTTGTTTTTATATTTTGTTTTAGATAGGGTCTTGCTATATTGCCTGGGTTGGCCTCAAACTCAGGATTGTCCTGTCTCAGCTGCCCAAGTAGCTGGGATTAGAAGCACAAGTCACCAGGCCCCTGCTCTGTAAGTGCTCTTTTAATGAAGGCTCTTTTGATTGGAGGAAGCAAAAACCCACTCAAGCTAACACCAAAAGAAAAGGAGATACTTACTTAAATTATATTGGAAGAGACGCTCACAGTGTCTCCCAAAGGAGTCTTTGAACATCCAGACTTTATGGTAGAGTAATTCTAGAATCAGAGCGGTCCTGGAGAGTTACCATACCAGGAATCTGTCAGCCTTTGTGAGAGAGTTCTGCCATTAATGTGGCCAGCCACATTGCATATATCTCTGCTACCGATCAACCTATCTCCTCAGTCTCCCCAGTCCAGATTTCTAGAGGGGAGCCTACTTGGTCCAACTTACCTTTTATACAAGTCCACAGTAGTCTTCCCAGACCCTTCAGAGCATATGTCCACTCCAGTACCTTCTATGGACACAAATAGCCATCTTGGCCTAATGCCAGGTTTCTGTTCTCGTGACTGAAAGGCTCAGGGGTCACTCCAGTTAAACTGGGCTAACTGGGCTGCACGAAATAATCACACAAGAGACACAAATACCTTTTTCTTTGGGGTCGCTGTGACGGCTCCTCTGACCTTAAGGGTCCACAGAAAGAGAGAGAGAGCGAGAGCACGTGCTGACCCCTTTTACTGAGGAGAAGCTATTCAAATGAGGCAAGGGGTCAGGTTTCAAGGGGCTGAGTCTATCTTCATGCTGTCCACTGTCAGCAGGTTGACTGACACCTGGGTAGGCCACACCCAGGGGCACAGTAAGAGAAGGGGACACACACAAGGCACTTCCATGGAAGATTCTACCCTAAACAGGGCAAGGGGTAATATTACAAAGAAACAGGTGAGTGTAGCTTCATCCATGAGGCTGTAGCAAGACACACCCATGCACAGGACATGACCCTCGAACCCAAGAAGGGTGGAGAAAGCTCTGTCACATTTCTGTGGCTAAGCGCCCAGCCGGAGAGTGTGACTCAGTCAGGTGTAAGGTTGGTCTCCCACAGCCTAACCCTTTGGCAGGGCTGTGAGCAGGATAGTTCCTTTAGAGTCCTTTAGAGCTTAAACTGGCATCTAAAACTCTTCTAGATACAGGGCCTAATAGGTCACTGAGAGGGAAATCTCTAGTAAACATTGAACTTGGAAAAAAACAAACATTTCCTGCCATCACCCAGGATTTTAAATGAGGTCAGCTTGGTAGAAATAACCATTGCTCAAGAGCCTACAGATGTTCTCTTTGAGACCTCACAGCAATTGTGCATGGTCAGGACCATTACTACAGAATGGCCCCCAGAAGCTGGTGAGTTCCTGGTCTCTCCTGGCCCACATCATGGATGTTGTTATCCTAAATTACTGCTAAAATGACTTCCCACCAGAAAAAAAGGAATAAGTAGGGACTTCAAACTCTGTTTCTTTGAACTCTGCTGAGGATGGGACTTGTAACTTGACTCAGATATTTCTATTTTTTCCCCTTGGATGAGAGGCATTTATCAGACATGTTAAATGGCACCTTCTCTTTCCACTTTCCAGAAGTATCTGGAGATCTCAGGAAACACTAGTTAACCATTTTGCTTCTTAAAGCAGACTGAAAACCTCCTTTTCACTCCCCTCCCCATCTACACATATAAATACCTTTAATATAAGGTGAGAAGAAGCTCAATATGGTTTGAAGGAGAATCTCTATGCTGTTAGACCTCTTAATCACTGTGCTACTGTTGATTCCAGGAAAAGGTCTACTCTTTGAAAATCTACTCTTTTAGCAATTTTAAAACCTATAATACCTATAGTCACCAGTGCTGTGTAGCAGATTCCCTAAAATGTATTCTTCCTGTTTAACTGACCCTTTTTACCCTTTGAACCCCTCCCTGCTCCCCACCCAACATACTAAGGTTTGACAGTATCTCATTTAATCCTCATAATAGCCCTGTGAGCTCTTCTACTCATTTTATAGATTGGGAAATTAGAACTCAAGGAAATAAAATAACTCCCCCAAGGTTGCACAGTTATTAAGTAGCACTTAATAGCAGTTATTAAGTAGTACTTGAACCTAGGTCTATCTAATGAGATCAAGGGTTATAGGAGAGAGAGCCAAGTTCAAGGAAATTTCTATGGCCACGGTCCTAGTGACCCACAAGGTACTTGCTCAGAGGGCTCTATAGAGGGTACCTTTGTCTTGAACCTAAGAGAGCAGCTTTTTCTTGACACCTTGGAGGACAGACTTTCTCAAAGAAATACTATTGGCCTTGGACTGAAGTAATAGAGTAGAAGAGGTGACTGGGAAAGGCAGTAGTGACTGTGTGTGTGTGTGTGTGTGTGTGTGTGTGTGTGTGTATGCAAACCTAGGCCAGAAGAATTGTGCAAAATAAGATTGAGTACCTATAATTTAGCTTAATGGATACGTACTGTATATCCTAAGATTCTCTTACACGAGATTAAAATTGCTGTACATTTTAAATACTTCCAGATGGAGAGGGCTTAGCCAGAGCCAGGAAAGTGGGGAAGGGTGCCATTAGAAGGGGGAAGAGGAACAGCTTTGGTTGGCTACTATGAAAGAGAACAGAAAAAGGAAGATAGGTTTAGGGACCACTCCTTACCCCCATCCCCAAACGTTGGGGCTAAAATACTCTTTGCCCTGAGGAAGAGTGATAAGATCATACCCAAGAGAAATGGCTGGGGCACTTTTGCTGGGCACCCAGAAAGCCAGGTTAACATGTTTAAATATCTCATGAAGACTGACTCCTCTCTGTATTCATTTCTGCCCCCCCTCCGCCCCCACTTTCCAACTGTACTTCCTAAGAACATTCCCGTGCTAAGTTTTGTCTTTGCCAAGCATGGATCTTTATTTCACATTTGGTTCTAAATTTCAAACCTAGCTCAGTCTGGTAGTTTTAACGGTTTGGGGGGGTGGGGGGAGTGAGGGTGAGGAAATGTGATTTAGTTCTAAGAAAAGGGGCTCAAAAATCTTCTTGGAAATTAGCATTGTTCCCATTCATCACTGTAGCTCTTAATTTGATTTGATGAGTTAAATATAAATAAATCAAAAACATGTGGGTCAAATTTATGTAAAAAATGCACAGGGGTTTAAAAATTAGAGAAGGGTTTCTAGCCAAACACATTTTCGGTTTCTCTGAACACAAGGCGCTGGAAAAATCTCCAGTTTGCCAAACCTGAAGAGCAGCCGCCAGGTTTGCTGAGTCTCCCTCAAACCTTCCGGGGTAGAAGGCAAGGATTTCTGGCCAAGCCCTGAATTCCATAAGAGGCCCCGCCAAGGGAGCTGAGGCCTGCTGCTGGCTGTGGCTCCAAGTGCAGGGTAGGAGCCTTCTCACTCTGTTGACAGCACTGAATTTTCTGTGTGTGGCAGCACAGGCTGCACCCCCTGCCCTAGCAGAAAGAAAACCTCCCCAGCCAGGTCGCCATCTTCTTGCTGATGAAGCTCACTGAAACTTTTGTGCCATCCTAAAA